ACACACACACACACACACACACACACACACACACACACACACACACACACACACACACACACACACACACATATATATATATATATTATATATATATATATATATATATATATATATATGTATATATATATATACATACACATATGTATATATATACATTTATTCTGTCTCCCAAAAATATACACCTATATTGATATCGTAGGGTTGGTATAATTGGCACCGAGTAACTCGTTATGCTTCTAATCACGTAAAAAGAAAACTGATACAGATGTGCCCGATACACATCTATGAATAAATCTAGAATGTATTTTTTTTACACTTAATAAGATACCATAAATATTAAAACTGCTTTTAATGTTGCCTACGTAGCAGAGACAAGAATGTTGTTCTAATTTTTGTTTTCGTTTTTGCTTCACCCATGAAACCATTCATAGCCTATTAAGGATATATTCTGAGCAAATGATAAGTTTTCTCCTAGTCGTGGAGTAGTATGATTCAGTCGCAGACGCTGACACGCCGTTCCCAAGAGTTGATCGACGCCAATCGATACTGAGATTTATAACGTTTCTCGTGTTGTGGCATCGATGGAGTTGCCTTTTCAGGGCACGAGTCTGGGCAAGGTTGATATGGAACACAGGCTATTGACCTTGCAGTAGGTACCCACTCGAGAAGAGCAAGGTATCCATGCATCTTAGCATCAGTGCTACTACAGACCAATTGTGGGAGAGGTTATTCTAGCACCAACTAATTTAAGCGCTAAAAAGTTGAAGTTGCCCCTATCTTGCAATGCTCATGAAGCCTTTAAAGAATTCCTGGATCTGGATCGCCACCAAAATCAAATCTAAGTTGGGATAAGAAACACCTTTGGTAAAAATCGGTTCATAACTTTTTGAGTTATCCTGTTAACTAACGAACAAACAAACTAACCAACGCTACCCAAATCATAACCTTAGCGGAGGTAATGATAAGGATGGTAATCATAAAAATAGAATATGGTAATAATAATCATAATGATAATAATAATGGTTGATGATGATGATGAGGAGGAGGAGGATGACGATGATGAGGATGATGATGTTGATGATTGTTATAATAATAATAATGATAATGATAATAAAGGAAATGGTTATAATATTGGTTACGCCTATTACGGAAATAATGGTGATAATTATGATCTTATATACTTGGAAAGCAAACTCTTATATTTATCCAAAAAGATGAGAAAAAAGATGCTAAATGAACAAAATTATAATCAATTCAGATTTTAATATCATTTACAGTCAAGAATATACATGTACAGTGGAGCTTAAAAAAAAATCGGAACTTTCCTTACATAATATAATACTCAAGTCTCAAGAAATGAATTATCTCGTTGATAATACATACAATATATATATATATATATATATATATATATATATATATATATATATATATATACATATACATATACACAAACTTGAAACGGCAACACCACACCTTAAATACTCAAGCCAAAGATGCCAGCACCTCTCAGCTGCAGTAGGGTTTGCCTTCGCCGGTGTCCCTAAATGATCAGCCGCCACGCTCTCCCCTTTCCACCTGTGCACAAGACGAGTCGAATAAGTGCCTAGCGTCTCCACATAAGGATACATACAGCTCGTTCCAGCATCAGCTTTTAACATATTTGTACAGTCTACTATACATCTCTAGAGGAAATTTCATTTTAACAAAAATAGTCTAATGGCATAACTTAAAATCATTCAAAATGTGTGTGTGTGATCTCTTTAATCATGGAAACTACTAGCAACATATAGTAGTAGCAATATATAGAAAAGCGCGATCTTCGGGTCTTGGTTTCATACCGTAGCGTGGAGGTTAAAGTTTTTAGTGCTTGTGTTGGGACCACCCTGGAGAATGGCATACCCAAAGGGAGAACTTGAAGGATCGCCTCCTAGAGGTGGAAGGGCTCTTCGTAGACCAGCACACAGCTCACCCCAAGTGCCTAGAGACAGCAGGATCGGGTCGGAGGTCACAGGTACTGGGGTGTGACCTGTCTCATGGCTTGGACCGAAGACCAGCGAGTTTATGAGTAGCATGTCTGTTAAAACAGATGGAGCATGACTGGCTATTCCTGCTAGTTGGAAGACGTGAGCTGCAAGGGGTTCTTCCATTCCTCTGAAATTGCTCGGCCCATGCCTCCCTGTCGTCCTCGATAGGGCAACATTACCTCATTGTACCCAGACAGGAGATAGGTAAGAAAGGAGAGACGAGCTAGTTTTCTATCTCATCACACTCTTGAAGAACCCACATCCTGGCGGTCGACTATATTGATTGCGTAGCGGGACCCTAACGGCTGTGGACTTCTGATGGTCTTCAAGATGGCGGTGTGGGGTGCTTGATGAGTGTTGGGGCTGGTTTGCTGCGCCATCCTCCTGGTATTTTCGCCTTGGCTGTGGCCTATGGGGAGTCACAGAGTGTCTGGTACAGAGCGAGTGCACTGATGATGCAGCTGTGATCTAGTGGTATTAAATTTGTAAAGCGCTATCCTGCTCATCATTTGCGTCGTACACGTTTTTGCATTCAGCCGTTGCTCATTGCATGTCCTGACAGGCCGCTTCCATTGCTAGTGTACCTGCACAGCCATTCTCTGAAACGCAGTACACACCAGGGCAGAAACAGATGGAGGGCGAACAGAGGAGGAAGGGTTAAGTGTTAACAACGGCTGTATATAAGATATACTCAAAGGTATACCTTATTGTATTGAATTTGATTTTCTATTTAAGTTCTATTCAAAAGTCTACCCTCAAGAATAAACAGGTCTCGCTCGATATGCAATTGTCGAGAGTGCAATGACAGTCTTGAACGACAAGCTTCCTTAGAGAGATCGACTTTTATGTCATAAGTCGATATTCTTCTTTGAAGTTGTACGTATGCGATTTCAGTGCAAATAGTGTGGATTAAACAATGAAGGTCTATTTGCGTATATGATTGCATGAGTTGAGTAGGTGAGTGGTGATTAGCCAAGTGAATGAATGAATTATTCAAAGTAATGAAATGGATAGGTCAGTGTATAGCAAACGAGTGGATTATAATGATACAATAGAAATTTGAGTACCATAGGAGTTAAGCCATTTGTGTTATATGATGGGAATTACGGAGTGAGGGTATAGGAGTAATTGACTGACGTGTGAGTTGGGATAGTTAAGCGAGGAGGAGAAGAGTAAAGGGTTTGAGGTGGAGTTGTGGGAAGGAAAACGGTCGATAGAGACAACTCTCATGGTGTTAATCCTATAATCGCTCTCTTGTCAGACCAGTAACGTTCAATCGCAAAAGAAAGACGCTACAAACTCTTACATAAACAACTTGGCGCTCATGGAATATCTAACCTGGCAATGAATATGGCATAAAGTTACAGGAATTCGCTATGGTCTATACCGAAACATTACCGACATCGCTAAGTGAGATTCGGAACTTTCTCGGAAGCAGCACAGTGGAGTTCCAACAACATATTTCATGTGTGAAAACAGGTTACACCAAGGACGGGCATTTATTTACAACACATTTAACTGTCAGGAGAATTGACATCCTTAATTTCTCTGAGGAAATACCAGCGGTGAGCAAAGATAGATTGCCGTAAGAAAAGAAAAGAAAGAATAAAAAAAAAAAAGAAAAGAAAGAAAAAAGAAAAAAGACAAAGAAAAAGAAAAAAGAAAAAAAAGAAAAAAGAAAAGAAAAAAAAAGAAAGAAAAGAAATAAAAAAGAATAAAAAAAAAGAAAAAAGAAAAAAAGAGAAAAAGAAGAACAAGAAAAAAGAAGAAAAATAAAAGAAAAGAAGAAGAAAAACGGTATGGACGGAAAGTTGCGTCTGGGTGCAAAAGATACGTCTGAGAACGAGTGAACATTACTGCCTTTCTTTTGTAGCATCCCCAAATCTCCAACGTACTTCATGTGTGAAAATGTTTGTCCTTTATGCGCACATTCTTGGAAACTGGTGAAACATCTTTTCATTTTGTATCAGAGTGTTTGTCTCTTCCTTGATACAGTTTGATACACTCCGGCTAGCCAATTAGAACGCGATAGGAATGTGTATTTTCATTAAGTACGATTTGCAAAATTCTATTCTAAATGTGCATATAATGTCTCTGTGTCTTTTTAGCAGTACATCAAATACATGTTCACTCGATATGGGTAAATTTTGAAGTCATCATGACGGTCGCTGGTACGGCATGGTAAGTCCGAATCATATGACGTGGTATTGACTTTGGTGGGATGAATATCTTTAAAATAATTCTGTACCTCTATTATGTAACCTTACAGACTCAGAAATATCAGAATAGACAGAGTATCTTATTTTTTTTTAATTTAAGCAATAAAATCAGTAAAAACAGTGTATTTTATATATATATATATATATATATATATATATATAGTTTAAGCAATAAGACCAGTAAATACCTCTGATCATTGGTATTATCTAGTCACCTGATTCGGACAGAGAACTCACGATAGAATGCAAAACTCAATGCAATTTTCACTTTTCATATGAACAACAACAAATAATAATAATAATAATAATAATAATAAAACATGTTTCCACAGCTTTGCGAAGCGAATAGGAGTGTATATATCATATTTGCAGAATAGTTTAGTACTTTTTCTATGTTATTTGAAGCTTCTACAATACTTTGCTTGTAGTTAAATATCACGCCTGCATATTTGGTGTTTTAATGGTTCTCTATTGACTTTTCTTTTGCGAAATTAAGAAAAAGAACGTCTCATCTTTCAATATTTTGTATGTCAGTGCTAATTCTGATGATAATCGTGTTTCGTAGCGGCCATGATACAACATAAAACATGTATCAGTCTTTGGGGTTTCGGGATGTTACAGAAAAGGCCTTTAGTGTCTGCGCATTTGTGTGTTAAATCCAGTTTATATTCTCTATTTACATTATCCCTTATTCTTAAAGTTTCTTCTCGTTAGTATCATTATCATCGCTGAATTAATCGCTTTTCCACAGGTAAGCATGATTTCGGAGATGATGCCGATCAAGAAGGTGTTAATGACCATTGTGATCTCTTCAGCTGCTCTTCTTGTGTTGCAATCTACCCCTCCGCCTGTTACTTATGTAGGTAAATGTATGTGGATGTACGTGAAATGTGATACATGTACAACATCGATCTATTTGGCCTTGTCTGTTTGCTTTCATGCTTTGATGGAAGCGCCCCCACGTCCTATATATATATATATATATATATATATATATATATATATATATATATATATATATATATATATATATATATATATATATATATATATATATATATATATTATATATATATATA